TTTGAAGGATTTTCTGAGAAGAGACAAAAAGTCAATGAAACGAAATCAAGTTTGAGGATGTTATTTAAGGGATTAAAAGCCAAGATTATTAAAAGTACAGGGAAGAAACATAAAGTTGGCTTATCTGATCGAGGTTAAAATAGATACGCAGTTATCTCTGGTGGACGTTAATGGACTAGCAATGGATGTTGAGATTTGAAGTTTTCATTTGTGGTTAAGTGATGAGATATGGGAAGATAAGATCCTTTCTTGTATTTTAAGAGATTGGTGATGTTACCAAAATGGTTTATACTTATCGTGATGAGGGGAGGGGGAACCTTATAAGAAATCACTGGAGGCCCTTTTTAGCCAAGAAAATATTGTAGGAAAGATATGATCACTGTCCTCAGGTATCTAAGGGGTTGTCATGTAGAAAATGGGAGAAACTATTCAAAATTGCTCAGAAGGCAGGACAAAGATAATGTGTGTTTACATTACAAAGTAAAAGATTTCAGATGGACATTAGGAAGAATTTTCTCCTGGTTAGAAGATAGCAGAATTTCTGATAGAGAGAGAGACAGGCAGGCAGGCAGGCAGACAGGCAGATGATGGATAGATGGATAGATGGATAGATGGATAGATGGATAGATGGATAGATGGAGAGATGGATAGATGGATAGATGGATAGATGGATAGATGGATNGGGACAAATTGTTAGAAATCGTGACTGTCCCGCCAAAATTGGGACGTCTGGTCACCTTAGTTATAACCAACTTAGGTGGTGGCAAAGGGACAATCGGGCCTTCGGAATCAATCCTAGGCAGATATATGTTTGGATCTGATGGATTTTCTTTTCCTTTCAGCCCCATTCTAAGGAGTGGGAGAAGGTAGGAGAGGAAGATGAGGAGGAGGGGAAAGAGAAGGAGCAGGAAGAGGAAAAGAAAGAGGGGAGGAGGAGATAGAGGAGAAAGAACAGGATAAGAAGGAAGAGGAAGAGAAAGAGAAAGAAGAGGAAGAGGTGGAGGAAGAAGAAGAAACTTGAAATGTTTACTTTATTATCATTGTATGTGAATACACAGTATACCTATACAACAAAATTTGCATAACACCCAGAGACCAGGACCAACACACATAACAATCCACTAACACACCCCCACCCACCAAAAATTCCAAGCCCCTAAACCGTCCAAGCATCCACACAACAGACCAAGTAATGCTCTCCAACAACTCACTGATGGTGGCCCTTTAGTTCATTGTTAAGTGCAACTATAGCTCTAGGATAAAAACTATTCAGAAGACGCATGGTCCAAGTTTTAATTGCTCCGTATCTTCTGCCAGAAGGTAACAGTCCAGAAAGATTGTAAGCAGGATGGGAGGAATCTCTGAGAATGTTATGCAACTTCCTCAAACAGCGAGATGCGAAGATGTCACCAGGGCTGGTAGCTGGAGCCCGGTGATATTCTGGGCAAATTTAATGATTCTTTGTAGAGCTTTTTTATCTGCTGCAGAGCTGTTCCCATACCATGCAAGGATGTCATATGTCAAGACACTCTCAATGGTGCTGCGATAGTAGGACAGAAGTAGATGCTGAGATAGATTTATCTTCCTGAGCATTCTCAGAAGAGGGAGAGGACAAAGAAGAGGAGGAGAAGATAGAGGAGAAGGAAGAGGAGAAGAAGAAAATGAGCAGGGGGAGGAAAAGGAGGAGGAGGAGGACCGTGGAAAGTAGAAAGATGGGATGAGAAAGAGGAGGAGAAACAGGAGGAAAAGAACGAGAGGAAGGAGAGGGAAGAGGAGGAGGATGAGATAGAGGAAAAGGAACAGAATAAGGAGAAAGAGGAGAAAGAGAAAGAAGAGAGAGAAGGAGAGGGCAAAGAGGAAGAAGAGGAGAAGAAGACAGAGGAGAAGGAAAAGGAGAAGACAGAAGAGGAGGAAGAGGAAGGAAAAGAGGACCAGGAGGAGAAGAACTTCTTCTCCTCCAGAAGTTATGGGGAACATAAGTTGTTCCACTGATTCATTGTTCTAATATTCAGGAGATGTCTCCTTAGTTATAAGTTGCTTCTCTCCTTGATTAGTTTCCACCCATCGCTTCTTGTCCTACCTTCAGGTGCTTTGGAGAATAGGTTGACCCTCTCTTTGTGGAAGCCCCTAAGACAGTGGTGGGATTCAAAAATTTTTTACTACTGGTTCTGTGGCCATGGCTTGGTGGGCGTGGCAGGAGAAGGATATTGTAAAATCCCCATTCCCTCCCCACTCCAGGGGAAGGATACTGCAAAATCCCCATTTCCTCCCGAATCAACTGGGGACTCAGGAGGCAGAGAATAGATGGGGGCGGGATCAGTCAGAGGTGGTGGTTAGGTAAGCTCCCCGTTGGGAGAGCGAGTACGTTCAGAGAAGCATTGTGAGAGTTGTGTTGGAGAACACACAAACCAGCACACAGACATACTGCAGTTTCAATAGGCTTTTACTTTCATGGAAATAGAGGTATCAGAGTCCATCAAACAGTCCAAGTCATACAAGG